CCGGGAGAGATGGCGGAAAGTGAAACAGGAGCGGCAGCAGAAAGCTGCCGACCGCCGATCAGCGGTCAGGAGCCCCGGAGAAAGGCATGGAATTAGAGAGGTCGTGGAGGCCGAGGGGTGACAAAAGGGTAGGCAATCAGCCGTGAGCTTACATGGCTTACCTCGCAGCCACTCGACGGGTCTCAATGAGAATGGGGAGGCGGGAATGCTGCTCTGGTACAGAGCCAAGTCAGCCATGACATAACTCAGTGAAACATGCCGAGAGAGCTAAGACACCAATGAAGGACATCAATTAAGAAAATAAAAAGGCATCTCTTCGCCATCAAGCGTGAGGGATGAGGATAACAGTCAGCACGGAAAGTCTATGAATTCAAGCCAAGTGACTTGACCATCCGGAATGGGTGCAGATCTTGTTTTTAGCTCAGTTTACGAGTGCACTCAATATGAGCACTTCGGAGCGAGCCTGTCCCAAAATCAGCACCAACTGACCCCAACTCAGAATTGGAAGGCCCAGGGACTCACATACGCAGGGAGACGAATAACTCTATTGATTTCTTGGCTCATAATGTTCCAGCTAGGTGGATTGGTGAAGAAATAGACGAAATATGATAATATCATACAGCTCCTCTCCCTTACATTGCATAATTAGCGGGCTCTATCAGATCAAACTCATCGGCTGTTTTATGAGGTCCCTGGCCACGAAAATACGTCTTAGTTGATTGCATTATCAGTACTGATGAACTCATAACACCGAACGTTTTCTCAGCATGAAAATGTTTCGCCGTATAACAAGCATAACGATAGAATCGCTCAGAAGAAACTCATGATTGATGTCGCCCAGCGTAACGGCGCACGCTTTTCGACCAAAATCGAGCCCCTTTCCCGTTCGCGTTATCGCCGCGCTGAACAGCTCGGCTGGGCGCTGGCCAGGGGCGTCGCCACGGATTTTTGAGTGGGGGGGTCGGGTTTCTAGTCTTCACCCGATGGGTAGGGGTGTTTTTTTTTTGCCACACTTCCCAGTTTTGTGCGTGCGTATGTGTGTGTGTGCGTGTGTAACAAATCGGCGCGCAGCGCCGCCAAATTTGGTATAACCTATTAGGTAGGTATACCTACCTACATCACTTGCGTAAAAATTATCACTGGTCACTTAAGGTCAGGTCGCCATGTCAAGTTCAGTTATACGGTATACCTCTATTAAAAACTTTCCCTTCTCGCCATTCTTGTAGCTTTTCTCCCATAACTTCGAAATTTGGTACACTGTATAGGTACCTAATGTATGGGGTTATACGTGTCAGCAATTCATGATTCTAACTGAGGATTTACATCTATGATCTGAAGGCAGGTCAAATACGTGACCTCATCATTAGAAAATAATGAGAAATTATAGAAAAAGCACGAATGCCTCCTGCTTTGAAAAAGTTCGTCAGAAACGCAAAATATCTTTGGAGCCATGACAAATCAGCTCATCATTGCCAGGGACAGGGTGCAACTTATGGCGAGTGATGACTCGAAAGGTCATTAGTGGAAATGTCCATCGATGGCCACCAGCATTTTTTTCTACAACTTTTGACGAAGACGCGGTAGAGCGATGACAGCACCTGGAAGGTGTTCATTGTTCAGCTCAACAACACGGATCCATTCATATGCAGCAGGAGGTCCTTTTTCGATCAGGACATAACGTTGACCTGAGGTCGTTTTAACGTTAATTCTGAATGGTCAAATTTTAACTCATGTGACGCGTCTCAAAGAGATCAAGACGGTGGTGACAAGACAACATATGTACATACCATACAAATTCACGGAATCGAAAGTTATTGCAAAGCAGATGTTTCGGCAGAATCTGTCCAGTTAGCTGTTTGCCTTCTTATGGGCCAAACATAGACCTGAGATGAAATCTAACGCGAAGCTAGCGAAAGAGCGTTAAAAGAGCTATCGAATAGTTTTCTGCTTCACTGTAGCCCTTCTATTGGTGGTTTCCCAGTCGCTAACGTATAACGTATACTAAACTAACGCTGAGGCATGCTTTCGACCCCTGATCGATCTACAGGTTTGCGGAAAAAAGAGCATACTGCCCGTGACGAGAGAAAGCCGATGATACCCATTTACAAGTTTTCGGGTCATCTCAGGACTCAGGTCATCGCCAATAAGTAGAGAAACTCGGGACCTGCTAGAACTTAACGAATGTAAGTTGTGCTGGTTTTTCGAGGTTCTGATTACGAATGTTATCTTAATTTTGAACGAAGATGATGACTCCATGCATTTGGGATAGATCAGGTCAGGTCAGATCGACCAGTACCTAATAGTGGATGACCACCACCGATTGCTTCCTAGCATGTTATATGAATAAGCATTACACAACTACTTCTTAAATGTTCAGATGGGCGCTAAGTTCAAAATCAGCTCCAAAAACTACCCTATCAATTAAAAGCACGTTATGAAAAAGTGAACTAAGGTCATCTTTATTTGAATCAGGGATATCGATTTATTTTAAGTAGGTGATTAACTCGAGCGCACCGGAAGTTTTGTTGCAATCGGCTCCTTTTTGCGCGACTTCTTTGCGAAAGCCCGAGACGGTTCCATCTGACTCCCTTTCCCCTACATGTGCACTGTACAGCTAGTTGTGACGGTAGCCATGGGGCTGAGGCTAGTTTGTAGTTTTGTAGTTAGGTACTGATCCGACGAATCGACTGCGACCATTTTTTTAAAACGATCAGACAAACGCTCGGGGCAGTTTTGGCGCGTCCAATCCTTTGAGGGATAAAAAGGTACTAGGATGGGGGCTACTTAAAAACATTGTTGTGCTGGTGTTCCCCGCCCACAGGTAATTGACCTTTAGGTAATTGGCTAATTGGCTTTAGGGAGCTCTTGAAGCGATTTTGAATCTGATGTATTTGTTGGTGTTGCTGACGCCTGCTTCACTGACATAAAAGCTAAAAAAGCATACTCAGCATCGCAAAAAGTGGGGGGGTCGACACCCCCAGTTTTCAAGAGTGGGGGGGTCACGACCCCCCCGACCCCCCCGTCGGCGACGCCCCTGGCGCTGGCACCGGTCCACGGCAGTCATCCCCAGACCCCAGTGAGCTAACGCCACTCGTCTGGCAGTAGGGTGTTCCGGTGCAGGGTGATCTGTGCAGCGGTGAGGTCGTCCTGAGCTCTTACAAAGCTACTGAATCACGGGGGACAAGCTAATCCCGAGGGAGTAATATGGGACAAAAGGAACCAGCTGACTCAGAGAAAACCACTTGGTCCAAAAGAGCCTGTTGATTTAGATGAAACCAGCTGATCCAGCAGACTGGTAGGATTTAGCTGTAACAAGCAATAGGCTGTTCCTAAAGGAACCAGCTAGTTCGGGAAGATCCAGCTAATCCCGGAGTCCGGGCACTCCATCATCCCACCGCTGACACCAGAGGGAGCCGACAGCGGCGGGGGACCACCTGAGCTCAGTCGGTGCGTCACAGCCCCTCCCCACGCCTGTCCTACCGCAGGCAGCCATCGGAACTCACCTGGGAATGCTCCAGGGGCTGTGTGGCCGCACCCTGCCGCTGCGGGTCGGCCCTGCACTCTCTCACCGTCTCACACTGTCTCACACCGGCACCACGGCCCCCGCGGGGCGGCTCACACCTCCGCCACTGCCGCCGGCCGCCGCCGAGCCGAGCAGCGCCGCCGTCGGCCAGACATACAGCCGTTGGCAGCCGGCCCGACTATTTTGGGAGCTCTCGCGACCGAATTATGCGTCGATTACTTCGATACGGAGTGTGGCGCCGGCAGTGTGCTTAGTTCGGTGCGGACGGTGCTCGTGTGCTCAGTTCGGTGCTCGTGTGCTCAGTGCGGTGTTCATGTGCTCAGTTCAGTGTTTGTGCATGCTTGGTTCGGAGGAGTGGGATGAATCAGTGGTGTGCTCAGTTGGATGAGGAAAGGTCGTGAGTCGAATGCGGACCATGACGGCGGTCGCGAATTGATTTCGGTGCAGAAATTCGTGTGTTCAGAATTCAGATCAATCTTCATTATGTTCAGACGTATAGGTCTAGCGATTAATGTGCCGATCCGAAAAGGCCCTTCGGCAATCCACACCTATTCACTGTTGTGATGCAAAAGCAGAAATTACATCGCCGGTACGATTGATTTAACCTTGGGACCTTCAGATTGGCATGCATTCCCTCGATTGGAATGTTTGGCTAAGCTTTCGGCGAAAAATGTGGCGAATGTTGTAACAACGATGACCTCACCGCGTTTCACAAACATGACAAGCCCGCACTAGTTATGTTCTGTCAAGGTGTAGTCAAATTGATCGTGGTAGATATTTATTCAATACCAGACGGAGAGGGCCCGTAGGGCGGCGTGCATCAGCTGCGCAGGCACTCGTTATTTAAACCCCTGTCGGAACTTGGAATTTCAAATTGAATATAATCTATTCCCGCCGAAATTCTCAACCACTTTAATTGGGTATGTAGGTACCTACAGCTTGAAAAAAACGCAAATTAAACGCAACGGGTGTAGTGTCAAAACTAATTTTACATTAATTAATGTTAAAGCCATTGCGAATCATCAAAACTGTAAGCATGCACACTGGGAGAATCGCTGGCTGTAACAACTATAGGAGCTCTACACAACTGACAGCCTCAGCAACAGGCCAAGGGGTTAACTGCACTCGCCGCTCACAGATGGCAGCAGCGTCTGGCGCCTGCAGGTAGGCTGTGGCGCAATGCTCAGCTCGGGAATTGGCCGCTCCGGGGAACAGGAAGTCGCGCGTGAAAATACTTTGAAATTAAAACAGCCAAATCTAAGAACTCTATACTCTTGGGGATCTCTGACGATCCTGTCCAATGTTTATGATCTAATTCTAGATCAACCGCCCAGCACTGCGACTACGCTCCGATTACCAGTGCTTCGTGCCGAAAGGGATGCAACCCAATGATCTTTTTAGCCATCTATAAGCAGCAGCGGTGTTTACACTATCCAATTATCCATAACAGCAATATGTTTTCATATTTAATAAATGATTAGCTTCGCGTACATTTATTTGTGATAGGCACCTGAAGGTTCAGACAACAATCATTGTGAAATATTACCTATACGTATAGTCATATATAACCCAGTCAATGCTGCATTCACACAATACAAATAAGCTTGCACAACACTTGTCACAAATCAACCATCCATGCTTTAAATGAATCATCGACAAGCGACAATGCATTTAAATTTAAATAAAGGGCGATTATTTTACCCTGTGACGATGTGAACAAGACGTTAGCAGTCATATGTCGGTGCGTAATTGAGGAGTAAACTGGACCATCATTTATCAGCCTGCATGTGTATAACGTATCATGCTCCAGCTCATTATCAGAGATACAGAATACCTGAAACTCATATACAGGCTGACCTGCTCCGCTTAGGCGGTTTTCATTCTTAGCCAAGCACAAAAAAAAACCTTTCATTATTAAAACCTCATTGAGGTAGCTGTCAGCTCTTATCAGCATCGGTATGCTGGACCGATGACATAATGTTACACAACACTAGCACCGCACCATTGCACTTTACCAATAGCACTGCATCACAGGACACTGACACTGCACCAAGCCACGAACAACGAACGATGCACGGTAAACCACCAACTCCGCACCGATTTCACAGCATTTACCGGCGGCAGGACGCACAGCCCTTCGGCAGCAGCTGTCTCAGTGCAGTCCGGTACTGCTGCACCATAACTCCGTACAACACCGGATTGGCCACCACACTCAGATTACAGAAGCACATTGTTACCACCTGCAGGTCCGCCAGGAGCGCCGACCAGCGACCAAAATCCGTACTAAGCAGCGACTCGGACACAACGGCGCAGACCACGAGAGGTAGCCAGAACAGAAGAAAAGCGACGATTATCAATACGGCCCGCACGGCCATTTTTCCTTCCATTTTCTTTTTGCCTCGCAGTCTGGCCTTGCTGTTCATGACACACACGGCACCCACCAGTCGATTCTGTCGTGTCGAGCGAGTGAAGGTTACGTTGCCGTCAATGTCGACCGCCGGTACCGGGCCCACCGATTCGTCCACAGAGCTCAGCTCGAGCAGAGCTGGACGACGGCGCGAGCTCGGGCAGCGCTGCAGGGTAGCATCGGCAACGACAGAGGTGTCATCGTCACTGGCGACAGCGACGGTGTCAGGATCATCAGGGTCTTCCTCGTCAGATTCGTCGATCAGAGGAATCCCAGCGAAGCTGAGAGGTCGGCCGCCAGGGGCGCTAGGTGCCGAGTTATAGATCTCGCCCTCGGCGTTTGCTGCGCTCCGAGCTGTGGATCGTTCGGTCGCGCCCTCCGTGCCGCAGGATGACTCGCCAACGCCGCTATCTGAGTCGGCAGAGGCGAGTCGCGGAGTGTCTGGCGGCTCTCTGATCACCGAGAGCCTCTCGCTGCGTACCGCGCCGGCCAGCAGGCGGTGCTCCGGCTCCACCAGCGACCGTAGCGCCGCCGGGTCGAGCAGCGGCAGAGTTGGATCACTGCGAGGGCTCCCGACAGAAGCCAGAGGACGCTGCTCGACCGGCGCTCCGAGCCGGGCTGCCGAGGGGTGAGGCGGGCGGCGCCGGGCAGGGAACACCCGCAGCCTGGGCAGCCAGTGGCGGCGACTGCGGGCGACGCTCCTCAGCCCCGGCAGGTTCGGGAGGAACGTGGAGGCGGGACCGGACACGGGAGAGCCGGAGGGCTGCAGGAAGCTGATCCGACGCCCGCCGGAGACTGATGCCGGCTCGAGGGGATGCTCCACCGCCTGCTGCGTGCGCTGGGCCAGCGTCTTGTCGGTCATCTTCCTCACGTGCTCTTTGATCTCGAGGTAAATGCGGAGGTAGAATGTCCCTGGAAAGGGAGCAATGAGTGAGTGACTAGTGAGCCACTGCCAAATAATAAAAAACGAATGACGATGTCCGTCTTTTGCATATGTAGTTGTAATTTTTCTTTTCCAGGTTTCTTTTTAGGGTTTCGTGGGATTGTGGGGCCGTTGTGGTCTGTCTGTATGTGCGTGTGTCTGTGTGTCTGTGATGTGTATTCTGCCCAGTAAACGGTATGTAAACACCGCTCGAAAGTGCTGGCTACTCGGGTGAACATTGACAATGGTGTTCGCTGTCCTCTGTTGGTACGTGTGTGACGTCATGGACTGACGTGTCTACGTGCCGCCTGTGCACTAACGTCACGCCACCGATGTCTACGTGCTGCTACCGCACGGACGCTCCCGCTGAACGGCTGGGCCATCGACAGCCAGTGCTCGTCGCTCTCAGCTCAGCTCTCAGTTATACGGGCCTTAGTTTTGCTGTTATAATGATATGCAAATGATGATGAACTTAACATACTCGCCATTCGCCAATGATTTTATGCGCTCCAGCAAAATACGTTCACTGGCATTGTATATGCAAATGTCTAAGCAATAGGCATACGGTTTTTAAAGGCATGAACAAGTCAAAATATAATTAAACTCAAGCACGTTCTCCAATTATTTAGCTATAGGTAAAATAGATACTGTAGTTATTTATTCGAAGTACATACCTACCTATAGTTGAATATGGCCAGCTCTGGTGAAATGACATCACGCAAAAACAGATGCCTCTACAGTCTACAATCTACATGCAAGAGTTACAATAACATGTTGGCCGTTCAAATAAAGTCACAAAGTCGAAAAGCCTCTGGCTTTATTCGAGGCTCAGTGTTGAAATGACAGGTGGCAGGTGTTTCTAATTTCCTTGCCAAGGCTGCACAGTATGATGATCCAAACAGTAATTAATTATCAACCTATCCTGGCATGCTGCATAAGCGAGGCAATACTCATCAACAGGACGATAAAAACGGAAAACAGGCACCTTACCTGTATCATATCGAGCGAAATGATATCGCTGGAGCGAATACAGGGCCCTCTTAATTTTTGACGGAAGTTCGATGCTTTGGTATGCACCTATATAAAGGTACAAAACTCTTTACGTAGAAACGTCTTTAGTATAGGCTTAAAACCTACATTCGGAAATTTGTCAGCTAAAGCCAAACAGCAATAATGACCAGCTTTGCTTTGATCGCACTGACTTCTGGGATCGATTCGGCCCGTTTAATGTCACAGTGGCCCACCAATCAGCTCCGATCGACCGGCCGGAGCCGCCGCCGGCCATCACCTGCCCACTAGCAGTGACTCATATCGGCGCAGCGGGGGTCGCGTCGGTAAATGATGCACCGACTACTCACCGGCCGGCCGTACCCTTACGGTGCAGTCCGTACTCTGGTCGGGTTTAACGATAATTTGGTGACTGGGTTGAGGGGACAGACCCCGACCATGAAGAGTCAGTTTAATAGATGAAAATCGATTGTCCCCTATTTGAGTCCGATACGTATGGACAGGTATATACCTATACCACAGAAAGGGCGTAGGGATCACGATACCTGATATGCGACGGTCTAAACGACGAACGGCGGGGTTCCAGAACGCACGGTGAAACGAAACCATGAGGACAGACGAAGCCAATCCAGGCCGTTCGCAACTGGGTGGCTAGCGTCAAAATACATGGGTCGCTTTTCGTCGACGCTAGCCACGATAAAGTTGGTTCATTAGCTTTTCTACGTCACAACCTTTTTACCGTATTCAGTGTTCACGTGGAAAGAAACTAAGTCTAGAAAGATATGAGACATTAATGATACGGTATGTTTCAAAAGTTTTCGTTATGCTAAGGTAGTTATTTAGCTCGTAACCCACGTGATGAGGCAGGCAAGCCGTGCACATTGGTCGTTAGGCATGTAATTGCTGGGATAGGAACCATTCCGAAAGGTTACGACCGCATGTCAGTGGCACACCCGGGGATATTGGATGGCGTCTGTCCGATATACGTGCGGAGGCTACCAACGGTCACAGCGCTGTGCGAAACTCGGAAACTCTGTACGCTACAGAGACATGATTCTCCTAGACTAACGTTTAAATGTCATCGACATCGTTTTCAATGAAATAAGTAATTAAAAGATGTAATTACCTACTGATCAGTGATTGCACTGATTATAGTAGCTCAGTAAAATAACTTCATGGATCAAAAAATAGCGCAAATATTTAAATCTTCTAATCATTAATCGCTGCTAATTCCCATTAACGTTACGTAACACAAGGTATTTTTGTACCAACGATAATCGACAATACCGCACCGCCTCTTTCACGTGAAGAGACGGGGCTTTTATTTAACAATAAAAATGGTGCATCCGACCCACCTATGATGACAATGTTGATGGCGCCCACTGGAAAATGCAGCAGGCAGAAGGAGTTGGCGAAGTTGTGCGGCAGCTGACCCGCCCTGCCCAGCACGGTTAGAGCCGAGTCCGGAGTCAGACGAACGTCTATCAGACTGCAAACCAGGGCCACCAGCCAGACAACGCCTGCGGGACGTCAGGTACACAGCCGGTCAGAAAAAGACGGGTAGACTCTTGGGCATTTAATGGTCAAAACAACAAGACGGTACCTACACACGATTCGGTCATACTAGCCGGATGACACGAAAAGTGCAATATTCACCGTTCAAATTGAAATACACGACAGTCGACAGGGACTCTTGTAACTGCATACTCTTAGACAAATACCTTATGATTTTGTTAACCCGCGCCCTGGTGGGGTCTGTTTATAACGCGACCTGGTGGGGGGGGGGGCTATTTTTTGCCCCCTCGTATCTCCGAAACTACTGGACGGATCCGCAAAATTCAAACGGCGTTCGAAAGGCCTGCCAAATTTGTCGAGAGAAACCAAATTTCATTGACCTCGGGGTCACCGATGACGTCACAGGCCAGGTCAAAGATGAAATGTTTCACCGTTCACGGGTCTTCTAGGGAATGCGCTATAACACAGAGGAAAACGCATTTTGTCGAGAATCAGCGATAGTGCGTCAGTTGCCTAGTAGATATGTTGCTATTAGAGGTCACTGACAATACCAGTTCAGGTCACAGGTCAGGTCACCAAGGGTCATAGGTCAGGTCACATGAGCCCAACTTTACTAAGGTTGTGTGATGCATGTTTTATGGCCAATTTTTCATTTCCAACTCAATGGTGTTGGTTATAAGACTATCAGGTACGGCTTAGGTCACTTTCTGGTGAAGTTCAGGTCAAGGTCAGGTCAAGGTCAGGCCAAAAAAGGTCAAATTTTAAAGTTGATAGTTTTGCATAAAATGGGTATTGCTTCGATGCAGCTCGTCACGGGGAGTCTAATGGTGGTCTTTGTTTTGCGCTACGGGGTCTAGAATTGCTAAAAATTGAGTTTGAAAATTTGACGTAATCAATTTTGAACAGTTTTTTCGCTATAACTTCGCCAAAAAAAGAGGTATCAATCTCAAATTTGGTATGTGGATGGAAGGCGTTAAGGACTATCACATATTTTCCGGTTTTTGCGAAATTCAAAAAACTTTTTGGATTTTTCGATTATTATATCCAAAAAATTTACTTTTTGATTTTTGCGGGTCAAAATCCAAAAATTTCAAAAATCCGAGATAGCAGTTTTGTAGTCCTGTTGATTCTACATCTTTTATGTCTTTATCATTTTTCTGTATTTGCAAAGCTATAGGCCTGACAGCTCTTCCCGCGAAACCCTTTTTTGGGTCGAAAACGGCAGAACATGACGTCACTCTGACGTCATTTCCGGCCAACCTATCATAGCCTTTGGAAAAATTTTTGGTCGCAATGTGTAAAATTGATGTCCGGGAGGGTACTGAAAGTTTGGTGACGATCGGCGCAGCGGTTCTGGAGATATAGCGAAAAGTCTGGAGGGGGGGGGCAAAAAATAGCCCCCCCCCCCACCAGGTCGCGGGTTAAGCACCTTTACACTGGACAGATCTCCGATCTGGTAAACAAAAAAGCCCTGAAGTCATTTAAAAGGTGCTCATTAATGCACTAGAAGTTACCTACATATATGGAATTCACAGTCTAATTGTTTTCCTATGTATTACGGAGAAAATAAATACAGACAAATAACGATGAACTGGCATGCCATTTTCCATATAGGTATAAGCCATAAGCCAGGCATAGTAACGCTAACCAACATATAATGACATGAGATTTGGGACCGTTTAACGGTTATATCTTGTTGCTTGCGTTGAACCATATCACTGAGCACAGTGCAATGCGCTGTAGGTGCCAGGTGGTGACTTCAGATGCCATGTAGTTCAAATTAGCTCGAACAACTAGAAACACTAGGACGACATGAGAGCGACATTTATGCGTGCCATCCAAATAACCCTAAGTGGCCCTCCACTCGCTTTCGTCAGCTCACCGCTCCGCCGAACAACTCACGCCCGCAGGCTGTAATGTCACGCCAGCCGCTTAGCGGGGCACTTAGCGACACACGACATCAGACCGGTATCCCTCCCGTGTTACAGGAGCGTCCCACGGGACCACGACACCTCAGCACTAAGCTGCTGCCTCACGCAGTGAGGCCGTCACTGCGGACGGCTTTGGGGCATATGACGGCACGGTAGCGCCCGATGACAGCTATTCTGGTCCGCGTGGTTCATGGCACTCACCGAGTCTGATGTTGAGCCGCGCGTCCTAGTTGCTGCTGGCTCAATTGGCTTAGAGCACTCACCAAGTTCGACGTTGAGCCGCCCGGCCTGGTTTTCACGAGCGCACGGCTTAGAGCACTCACCGAGCTCGATGTTGACCCGCCCAGCCTGGCTTTCACTAGTGCGAGACTGACAGTACTCACCGAGCTCGATTTTGATCCGCCTGGTGATCTGGTCATGGCTGAGAGTACTCAGCACTCACCGAGCTCGATTTTGAGCCGCCTGGCCTGGCGGTCGGTGGTGCGGAAGGGGTAGGTGACGCAGTGGAACCGCTCGTAGCTGATGGCTGAGAGAAGGCCCAGTTGACAGGTGACGCCGGCCGTGAACGTCAGGGTCTGCAGACTGAGCAGCGCCGGCGGCAGGCTCTGAGGGAGGAGAGACATGGTGGTTGAGACTAAGAGGAAGACAGCATAGCTGTGCTGGCGGCAGGCTGAAGGGAGGCCGGTCCGAAAGACAAGGGTGGTAAAGAGGGAGACACGTAAGCCCCAGAGGCAGACTCCGGGAGAGGAGAGAACTACGAAGTTGAGGGAGACACGAGACGGTGGGCTACACTTATATCTGCAATTAAACACAAATGGAATAAGTTCAGAACCATACTGTCACAGGGAGCTTCCAATGACCAGATGTCACTGTCTTATACAATACAATTTTATCAAGAACTGCCCCACCGCGCCTGTCTTCATCGCGATGTGTGTCTGCCTCGGACGTGGTGCGCTGCGCTGCCAGAACAAAAACAGCCCAGCCGGGGACAGGACTGCCAAAACGGCGGCTCTACTGATAAACAACAGCGACACGACAGCCATGAGCCGTGTGCGCTTTGTGACGGGCTTTCTTCAAAGTGCTGTTGTACTTTGGCTGTGACGTGACATAAGTTGTGCCTCAGCAAAAATTATATAATTATTAGATGCCTATACTTGTACTTCCGGGCCCCGGGGCTACGCTCACAAACAATTTATACAATTAACTGCTACCCAAAGCCCGATGCTCGTAACGTTCTGATTTTCGGATAGAAGGAGCATCATTAGAGTGATCATTCTGATCGGATTCGAACATTGTCCGACAAACAAAACTCTGTCTAATCACCCGATAAGAGAACGCGTAATATACGCTCAACGCAGACTGTAAAACATCCAGCTTCAAGTGGCAGGTACCTACCTAAAAGGAGCAACTGAGCTGAATTCAGAGCCATTCACATTTGGATTAAGTTCTGGGCAAAAACCGAATGGAAATAAGTCGACGTATTTATCATTTCATTTACCGATACAGATCGAAGCCCTGTTTCGGTATTTTCAGTTACTGTCCTTCGCCTCTGCATAGGTATACAGGGTGCAACACGATTCAACACCACAATTAGCTAATTGGTCCGTATAACTCGCGTGAGTGAAGTCTATCCAAACAGATGTAAAGGCTCGGTGAACGAGCCACCGTCTCCAGACCGGGAAAACGAATCGAGGCCAACCCGGGAAATCGACTCAAACCCCGGGCCGAGCCCGGCCCAGAACTGCCCAACCTCATGTTTTTGAGTGCCGTCTCCACCCACCTGCCGAACCACGGAGGCCACCAGGATCGATATCACCAGGGGCACGTTGGTGCCGGACACCACTGCACCAGCCAGGCACAGGTGCAGCACCAGCCGGTTGGTGTTGGTGCGGCGCAGAGACGGCGTCCGTAGGATGGCGGCTGTCAGAAGCAGGTTCCCTGCGGGCGCAGATCACACTAAAGGTTTCCTAACGTAGTATGCAGCATTTAGTACAGCCAGCCGAAGATGACTGATAAATGATGACTGATGACTGATCAGTGATCAATGAGCGGTGATCAGGCTCCATGATCCCAGGCCCGAATCCCATTCGATCATGTCTGAGGTCAGCCGTCAGGTTTTTCCGATGCTCGTTGTTTTCGTACTATCCTCGACCAGTGTCGATCGTTGAGGAACTGACCTCGACAAGAGGATCCGGACCTGCTTAGAAATGAAAACATGCATCCACAATCCACATGTTCTCTGTGGTCTGTGGATGGGACACAGCCACCGGTGGATTAGGTTTGCGCCTCTCTCTCTCTCTCTCTCTCTCTCTCTCTCTCTCTCTCTCTCTCTCTCTCTCTCTCTCTCTCTCTCTCTCTCTTTCTCTCTCCCTTACCTAAGAGTCCACCAAGACAGCTCACAACGGCCATAGACAAGCACAGCACAGTCGCCGGCTGCGATAGCGTCCACGCAGGCTCCACTTGGAACACGTATTGGTACCGTTCGTCGATGACACTGACGTTCATCATGGAACTTGGCTGGATTCGGGCCTCGGACACCGCTGGCTGTTTTTCAGTCACCACTGGCCGTTCGTCAGCCTTCAGTGAGCGGTCTTCAGTCCGGGTCCGTAGTCTCTAATGGCAGATATTCAGTCGCGCCTGGTCAGCCCCACCGTCCTAAACTGCGGGAGCCTCGGAAGCGCCAAGCTCAGCCATCAGAGGCGAAAGATGCTCCTCAGTTCACTACAGCCACACCATCCCTTGCATAATGCCTCGCGCCATCATATGCATGTTCTTTCGCTCTTTCCTCTCACATCTCTCTTCGTCTGTCCTTTCCACCTGCCCGAACACTGCCTCAGCTCCAAGCGCCACCCGTGCACCTGTCCCGGACCAGCACCCGACCTCCGCCGCCACCGTCACCGTCACTGCACCGCCGACGGCGACCACCAACGACGGTACCCTGCGTCGCCACCGACGCAGGCAGGTCGTCGGCGTCGACGCACGGGCGGCGATAGTGGCGGCGACTATCTAATCGGCACGCGAGCGGCGCGAGCTGTGGACACGAGGGCGCGCCGCGTATTTGGACGGTGCGCCGGTAATTACCTGGCCTACCCGCGCGCAGCTGGGGCCGTGGATGGCGACTGGCGAGGTCATATTTAGAATCTGCTGGGTCCGTGGATAACGACCGGCTAGGTCATGTTTAGAGACTGCTGGGGCCGTGGATAGCGACTGTAGGAATGGATAGTAATCGCTGGCCCCTTAAAAACTGAAATCAGTCGCTACCGAAGTTGGGTAGCGACTGTTGTGGTAAAAAACAACAACAATAATAATGTATATTCCATAGACATTTCTGTCGGATCTTTCGGTTTCTATTTACCTATGCAACATACGATATTCTATTTTACATACGAAAGGGGTGGGTTCAGTTCACCGTTTTACCCGAAACTGTGCTAGAGCTAACCCCTACGAGGGTCGAGGAACAATATGCATTTGCTCTGTTACATAGGTAATACAGCGGCTGGCACTTATCTCAACTTTAACCCTCGCATGTGTAGGGGGGGGGGGTCGGATGGACCCCCCCATGGTTTTTCGCGAATAACTCGCGTAAAAAGCGGACCTTTGACCTGTGACCTCTTTTCCGAGACCATGTTTGGCCGGAATCGCGATTCCGCGTACGTCGGCTCGCATTAGCCGCGCGTTTGCAAGCTTTTCGTGGTTTCAAACGTTCAAACATGTGACTTGATGTTGCTCCCATGCATGAGGGTGGGTGTCAAGGTCACCTGAAGGTCAGGTCAGGTCATTGACCTTTGGTGACCTCGGGTGACCTCGGCTCACTTTTTCGAGTTTTACATGTTTCTAGGCTAGTTTTTGGAGCTGAATTCGAATTTAGCAACCATTTGAGCATTTACGAAGTAGTTTTGGTGCCTTCGTAACATGTTACGAAGCTGTCAGAGGCGGTTGACACGTACTACGAATACCCGTCACAACCCCTACTGGTTGACCTGACCTGACCTGACCCGACCTGGTCTAAATGCTTAAAGACATCATCTGTGATCAAAACTAACACGACATTCGTGATCAGCACCCCGAAAAAACCCTTAAAAGCCACACTTTACGACTTTCTAATACGTCCCGATTTTCCCGACTTTGGGTCATTGACCTGACCTGCAAGGCCAACCAATGACCTAGGACCTTAAAATTGGGTATCATCGGCTTCCTCTCGTCACGGGCAACACGCTCGTTTTTTCCGCAAAGCTCTAGCTCGATCAGGGGCCAAACGGCAAGCCGACCCCCCCCCCCTACACATTAGAAGCTGGCAAACGCCGCACACATGCGAGGGTTAATCCTCGCCGGACCAATTGGCTTTTTACATGCGTCGCAAGCCAAGGGGTGCGCCGACCCCCTCGCCGTTCGCTCCGATTGAGAGTTACCTAAAGCCTCGCTGAAAAAATAAAGGGGTGCGCTGTTATGAGACGCAGTGACTAGTATCCAAGTTTAGCCCTCGATCTGGCAGGGCATTTTTTCATAACGCGGCCTGGCAGGGGGGGGGGGGTCCATGCGACCCCCCTCGCGATTGGCTGGGGGGGGGGGGGGGGCACTGCCGATTTTTGGTCTCATTCTTAATTTCCATGCAACGCTCATAGGGCTAATGTTAAAATGTCAAAATCAAAGGGGGCACGGTGCCCCGGTGCGGGCGGTGCCCTCCCCGTTCCGCCGCCTATGGCATTCCATTTAGGTATGTATATCCAAGATACGAGTACAACACGTTCGCCGTTTGCACTTCGCAACTCCTGGGTCCTGGGTGTCAGATTCCTTTGTAAAGATGAGACCTCAGGATCTGGCCTTTTTCACAAGGTCATGTTTTTCAGAATGTTAATTGAAATGAAGCCATAAATTTTAAGGGAGTCAGTGTACTATGCAGGCAGTAGACATTAATTACTACCAATTTTACTTTACTCGCTGTGACTTAGTATATGGCAGCACTGCAACAAGACAACCACAGCGCAAGTGCTTCATGTCAATTGTCTTTTCGTTCGCAAAATAAGCAGCAGCCAGTTACTTCAATTTCTTTATACCGTGATTAAGATTGGTGAAGAAAATGCAGGCTGAATAAAATTGAATACTTTTTTCGAAGTTGAACAGAATGCAGCAGAAAATATTAAGCTTTGAGCTGATATTACAGTGTTGGATACCTATATATGGCCTTGGTTGGATAAGGCGCCCTGTTTTCACCGTCGTCCGATAATACAGGATAATATCTTTTATTGAGTGTTGAAGGCTTGGGTGTTGAATACAGTTATATTCAGGGAAATATTTTAAATGTATGGCATTTAATGTGGGTGGAAGACAAGGACGCTCTGACCAGTGATTTTAACTATGCACATGATCTTGGTATTTGACATTGATTTGCTTCATAATTTTAATTCAAATTCGATTGGAGGAATGGTTGGCTCTGGCCTGTGCGCCCGGTTGTGGTTCGGCTTTTAACCTAGTTGGAAATGGTAAAATGGACCCACCAACTGACTTTGTCTGCTCCTGGTTCACTGGTGTCTGGTGATTACTAATTTTAGAAATTGAATGCATCACAGGATTGCTGATGTGTCATGTCATTCGGGCTCGGCTAGGTCTAGCATGGCCCTTTTAAGTTTCAACCATTGTCAGCTGGCTGAATATAGACACATGGGTCAAATGATGTGGAGCTCCCTGCCAAGCGTTGACTACCAGTATGTTATCCACTTGGCTGCATGGAGGAGAAGAGTGATAATAAAATTAAAGTACTTGAACACTGAACAGGATGTCAAATTGTCATTTTTCATAATGCATCACCACTAACTTCAGATTTAGTATTTAAATGCTAAAGTAATCTTTCGGACAATGGTGCAGCTGCATTTGTCAAAGTATATCCATAAATATGACTGTGTAGTGTGTATGTTTGACCATGTTTTTCTGTTCCATCCCAGGCGATCCAGCATTTTTTTTTTACAATGAGAAGCTAGCACAGCAGTTAAATATTATACTATATGCTACAGCTCTCATCACTCTGTGCTAAATCTACACAATTATACCGCTGCATCATGCACTGGCTGAATTACTTCTCCCTGATAAGATATTGTCTGACTTATCATGCTTTGCAGCCTGATGTATTTGCATAATTCAGATTCAGATTGCAGCAGGCACATAGCATGAATAGGTGTCAATTATGAAATACTTTGGCACTTTGGGCATGATTAGGCTTTATAAATCATAAGAAGTAAGCACATCTGTATTCCTTCAAAGCAGTACCTATTTCTGAATCAATGCTTTTCACTCTGCTCTGAACTAGCAGCTCTAGTGACCAATTATATCTGATGTTAATCCACTTTTCTTAGTTGATTCATTGTTTTTATTCATTGAAGAAATTATTAATAATTTAACATATCCACCATCTTTTCTAGGAGAGAAATAATTTGCTTTGTTCTAGGCAGAGAGCTGCAGCCTCTTTTTACTGGCACAGAGGATTGGAAGTTATATTTCTGGCTTAGCCTGAAGGCTAAATGAAACTGCTGCAGCTTCGTTGCTGTGCATGCAATTGAGTGTTGGCTAGTGGCAGCAATGGATTCAGGAGGTGACAAGTGTTCTTGAAGCTGTAACCATGTCTAAAATATGTCTTGTTAGTGTTGTTCAGATGATAGAACATTGACTTGTTGACTGTAGTGTAATCACTAATTGCTTTTACGTTCCATCCATTTCAGGACCAGGAACAAGAGCAAGCAATTGAGGATTGAGGACTCATAAAAATGAACGTTGTGACAAATTATGTACAAAACACTTAATGTAAAATTGCCTTGTAGTTTACCATTGACGTAAGCATGCAAGCCACATCACAAGCTAAAGACTGAGTTTCAGGTAAGTTTTGAAATATTTGCTCCACTATGTCTAGCATGCAACTTTCTTTAGTTCTCCCTATGCTTAAGCTTCCATTCCATTACAGAAATTACATTGCACTGAGGGCAGCTTTGGACTGACTTTTTGACGGCTCTGGACTGACGAGCTAAGAGCATGATTTTTGCCGAAGAATGTCAACTCTGACTTGGGAGTTGGAGAAGGTACGGGTTCGGCGACTCCGACTCCAGCCGAACTGTCGACTCCGGCTCCAGCCGAACTGTCACGACTCAGGCCGACTCCGACTCCAAATACACAGCGCCTTTACTTTAACCTTCCAGGCGGTGGGGGCCCCCTTAGTTTTTTTTTTCGATATATATCCAGAACCGCTGCGCCGATCGTCACCAAGCTTTCAGTGCCCTTGCGGGAATAGCTTGTACACATTGTGACCAAAAAAAAAAAAAAAATCCAAAGGCTGTGATAGGTTGGCCGGTAATGACGTCGGAGTGATGTCATTTCTGCCATTTTCGACCCATAAAAAGGTTTCGCGGGAAGAGCTGTCAGGCCTACAGTTTAAGAGATACAGAAAAATGTTTTTCCATAAAATGTGTAGAATTAACAGGGCTATAAAACTGCTATCTCGGATTTTTAATTTTTTGAATTTTGACCCCCCCCCCCAAACTCATAAAGCTAATTTTTGAATATAATAGCCAAAATCCCAAAAGTTTGTTTAATTTCGAAAAATCGGGATATGTGTGATAGTCCCTACCGCCTTCTATCCACATACCAAATTTGAGATCGATACCTCTTTGTTTGGCCAAGTTATAGCGAAAAACTGTTCAAAATTGATGACGTCAAATTTTAAAACTCAGTTTTTAGCAATTCTAGACCGCATAGCACAAAAACAAAGACCACCATTAGACTCAGACTCGGCGTGACGAGCTGCATCGAATCAATACCCATTTTATGCAAAACTATCAACTTTGAAATTTCACTTTTTTGACCTAACATTGACCTGACCTGCACCAGAAAGTGACCTAAACCGTACCTGATGGTCTTATAACCAGCACAATTGAGCTGGAAATGAAAAATTTGCCATAAAACATGCATCGCACAACCCTAATAAAGCTTGGTTCATGTGCTGACCCTTGGTGACCTGACCTGTGACTTGACCTGACATTATCAGTGACCTCAAGTAGCAACATATGTACCAGGCAACTTACGCCCTATCGTTGATTTTCGACAAAAGGCGTTTTACTCGATGTTAAAGCGCATTCCCTAGAAGACCCGTGAACGGCGAATGATTTTATCTTTAACCTGACCTTGTGACGTCTTCGGTGACCCCGAGGTCAATGAAATTGGGGTTCGTCTGGCAAATTTGACAGGGCTATCGAACGCTGTTTGAATTTTATGGATCCGTCCAGTAGTTTCGGAGATACGGGGGGACAAAAAATCCCCCCCACCGCGCGGAAGGTGGCCGGGAGGCCCACCGCCTGCCGGGTCAAATCACGGTATTCGTTTCGCCCCTTATTGGGTTTAGAGCTTGCGAAAAAATCAAGGGTATTGGCGGCTGTCACGAGACGCACCAAATGGGACATAATTTAAAGGTGTTTAGGTAAACGTGGGACTATCTGGGTCAGGTCGATGACCCGATGGTGTATGCCCGATTTTCAGTCCATGGCTTCGATAAAAGTGTCAGGAAGCATCGATTTTGATGCCATTGCGTTTTCCGCGTCCAGCTGCTTCGGATGATCTTTTTTTTCCTTTCACCGGAGTCCACCGGCGGTTTATTATTTAACGAGTACACATGAAGTGCATTTAAACGCTTCAGTCTGGGGCAACAGCCATGGTGCCTGGTTCGGTATAACGAACGAGAATAGGCATATGGATGGCGCTATCGGTGGAGGTGGTAGGAAGGATATGATAGTTAGTCATGTTACGGGATACACTGTTAGATGATTAGATATAGGAATGCCACCGGTAGCGCCAACACTAAAGAAATGTATGAACAGAGACATATTCACAGCCTATTCACTGTCCATTTCAGTACACGTAGCATAGCATTAGCCACAGATGGCGCCACCGACGGCCGCAGATGGCGCTGATCTCAACAACACATGAACAGCACTGGCGTCAAGGAACAAAGACTTAGTTTGGGAACTGGACAGCGGCGGAACGCACGGCCGCGGGCCTCGTCTTGAACATGATAGACGCCTATTTCAGTATCAGACTCTGTGGTTACAGAGACTCCTCATCTTCCAAGTCGGCCAGGCTGAGGCGCAGGCGCCAAGCAGCGCGGCAGCGACGCAGCGCACCGACGTCGGCGGCCCCGCCGGCCCAGCTTCCCGTCATCAAGTTGAGCTCCTTCTCCTACTCCTCCGACTCGAGTAGGCTGGATGCTGACGTTAAGCAGCGCGGTATAGGTGCAGCGGACTGACGTCGGCGGCTTCACTCGCCCAGCGTCCTGTCAGCGTCAAGTTGAGCTCCTACTCCTTCCGTATCTGCAGCTGGAGGGCCTCCTTCTCCTACTCCTCCGATTAGGCCAGGCTGGGTTGTCGACGTTAAGCAACGCGGTAACGATGTAGCGGACAGACGTCGGCGGCTTCGCTGGCCCAGCGTCCTGTCACCGTCAAGTTGAGCTCCTTCTCCTTCCGTATCTGTAGCTGGAGGGCCTCCTTCTCCTTCTCCTCCGATTCTGTCAGGTTGGGTGCTGACGCCAAGCAGCGCGGTAATGATGCAGCGGGTAGACGTCGGCAGCTCCCCTGGCCCAGCTTCCCGTCATCGCCAAGTTGAGCTCCTTCTCCTTCAGTGTCTGCAGCTGGAGGGCCTCCTTCTCCTACTCCTTCGACTCGGCCGGGCTGGGGTGTTGACGCTAAGTAGCGCGGTAACGATGCAGCCGACAGACGTCGGCAGCTCCCCTGGCCCAGCTTCCCGTCATCACCAAGTTGAGCTCCTTCTCCTTCAGTGTCTGTAGCTGGAGGGCCTCCTTCTCCTACTCCTCCGACTCGGCCGGGCTGGTGTTGACGCTAAGTAGCGCGGTAACGATGCAGCCGACAGACGTCGGCAGCTCCCCTGGCCCAGCTTCCCGTCATCGCCAAGTTGAGCTCCTTCTCCTTCAGTGTCTGCAGCTGGAGGGCCTCCTTCTCCTACTCCTCCGACTCGGCCAGGCTGGGGTGTTGACGCTAAGCAGCGCGGTAACGATGCAGCCGACAGACGTCGGCGGCTTCGCTGGCCCAGCGTCCTGTCAACGTCACGTTGGACACCTTCTCTTTCCGTATCTGCAGCTGGAGGGCCTCCTTCTCCTTCTCCTCCGACTCTGTCAGTCTTAGGTGCTGGCGCTGTGCAGCGCGGCAACGATGCGGCCAGAAGACGGTAGCGCCGCCGGTCTAGGGTCTCGCGATCGTCACGTTGAGCTCCGTCTCCCACACGAACCGCCGCTGGAGGGCCCCCTCCTCCTCCACGATCGACAGGGCCGCGGTTCTCTGCGTTGCTGCCAGTGCACCTCAGCTGGTTACTCCCCAGGTGCTGCCAGTGGCAGCGGCGACCCAGCTCGGCGGTATGCAGTAGCAGCATCAGTGCTGGACAAGGCGGCCACCTCAGGTCTCAGGTCGGCAGAGCCAGAGGCACGCAGCAGCGGTCGGCGCTGGGAAGAGGATTCAGGCAAAGTTAAGACAAGTACAAAACTGGGGAGGGGGGGGGGGCAATTGACAGGATAAGCGTGGGGGAGTCATATCGAATGGCCATTAAACTTATTAACCTGAACACCAGTACGGTATGCGATACAAGATAACAAACATGGTACTCTGGATTATAGTTTTGTAGCAAAACAACAGCTTGGGCAAAACGCAGCGGGATATAGGTCGCTTAGCTTCCTGAGGTCCCGCTACGCGCCACTAAATCAGGTTAACAACGAACGTGATGGTGGTGGTGTAGGAAGTTCATGGACGAGTAAATGAAAAAAAAAATAATAAAGAATAAGTAGAGAGTAGAGATACGAGTAGGAATAAATGCGATATGTATGAAGAAAGGAGAGTTAGATGTAATAGCAGATGATATATAGCAAGTATGTAAAAGATGGAGCAGCCTAGTATTCATCTAAGAAAATGCGCATAATACATTTCTTAAAGAGACTTGTGCTTGGAGGGATATTATGCAAGTTCGGGATACGTGGGGCAATCATCAGGTTCCAGGTCTTAGGTGCTCTACAGAAAGGAGAGAAGAGTCGGTAGTTGGTCAATCGATAGTTGGGCACCATATCCCCTGTACCTGATGTGACTGCCTCACTAAAGTGCCTGACACTGCGTGAGGGGCGGGACTGGTTATGCAAGGAAAATTTATCAGATATGACAGCGGGGAGGCGTCCAAAGAGGCAGTTATGCATGAGAAGTAGGAGTTGCTTGTTAATAATGTCATGGAACTTCAGTAATTCAAGTTCTCTAAAAAGTGGCGAAGTGTGCGAGAAACGACCGACACCGGCTATGAGCCGAATCGCCAGCTTTTGAGCAATGACAATTGGGTTAAGATTACTTTCGTAGTTGGAGCCCCAGATAAGCAAGCAATAGCTGAGATAGGGTAGAACAAGGGAGTTATACAAAAGGATCAAGAGTTTCTTGTTAAGCAAATAACGGGCTCTGCTCATGATGCCCAGGTTCCTGCTAATCAAACCAGATACTTTGTTAATGTGAGATTTAAATTTTAGATCTTCATCGACCAACACACCAAGGTACTTGACGACCGGGGCACGCTTTAAATTGACGCCTTTCACAGGTATAGAAAGGCCTACAGATTCAACATTACCAGAACCATAGAGTTGATAGAACGTTTTAGAAGTAGATAGAGAAAGTCTGTTAGCGTGAAGCCACAGAACGACTTTTGGAAAGGAGCGTGAGATAGCAAATTGTAGTTCATCAAGTGTTTGGGCAGAGTAGAGGATAGCAGTATCGTCAGCAAAGAGAAAAAAATTGGCCTCATCACAAACTTTGGGAAGATCTTTAATATAGAGAAGAAATAAGATAGGGCCCAGC